GTTTTCTACTGTGCTGTTGAGTCAGTATATAAGCCAGCTCTTTCCCCTCAATAAACGGCATTCCTGTTGCACGAGTGACTGGCTGTCTTGTCTCTTATTTAACTCTCTAGGCCCTTGCCCGATTATTATAGGATTGGTGCTACAAAGCCCTAGCCACTGGCAACAGTTTTATAATTAATATAGTGTCTCTGCGTTTATTTGCGTTAGAAGGCAGTGGTGGGACCTGACGGGACAAGAAAAACTCTGCAACAATCCTGTACCACTGAAACAAAGAGTGTCTTAGTTAAGGTTTCTATTGCTGTGAAGAGACACCATGACCATGGAAACTCTTATAAAAGGAAACATTTAATTGGGTCTATCTTAGAATTCAGAGGTTTAGTCCATTATCCTCATGGCGGGAGACAGCAGCATGTGGGCAGACATAGTGCTGGAGAAAGCTGAGGGCTCTACATCTTGACCCACAGGCAGCAGGAAGTGAACTGTCACACTGGGCGGGACCTGAACATATATGAAATTGTAAAGCCCATCTCCACGGTGACACACTTCCTCAGTAAGGCCATACCTATCCCAACAAGGTCACACCTCCTAATAGTGCCACTCCCTATAGGCTAAACATTCTAACACATGGGTCTTCAGGGGTCATACCCATTCTAACTACCACAAAGAGTTAGGAGAAATGACAGGAGGAAGAGAAAGGACACCTGTCCCCAAACTATTCCTGAAAGTACAGAGGGAAGAAACACTAATCTCATTTCATAAAGCAAGGTTACTCATACCAAAACCAGTAAGGTACAAGAACAAAGAAAATGAGAAAAAGCTATTGCCCAGTTCTCTGGATGAATGTAGATGTTCTCAATAAAATACCAAACCACCGGGAAATCAGAACAAGTGAGGCCCTGTGTTTAATCCTCACCAGTGTAATTTAATGAATTAAAATCCCTTCAAACCAAATTCAGCAAAATATTAAAGAGATCACACACCAAGATTCCATCAGTTTCATTTTAAGAATTCCCCTTCACCAACCAGAAATCAATAAGTAAAATAGGAAAGCCTACGGCAGAGTCCCACATCATTGCACACTAAAGAGCCTGGAGGGATCTGGGACAGAAAGATACTGCAAGACAGCAAGACAAAGGGTAGACAGGGCAGACTTACAGCCAACACTACAACAAACAGAGAAGAGGCGAAAAGACTTGCTCTAAAGTCAGGAGTATCCTCTCTCTCCACATTGTGTTCTCCAGCAGAGTAAGGACTAAAAAGGGCACAGGCTGGGGAAAGGTCAGATTATCCATATTTGTAAATGGTGAGGTCTGCACATGAAAGACTAGCCTCAGCCAGGCAGTGTTGGTACACACCTTTAGTCCCAGCACTCAGGAAGCAGAGGCAGGAGGATCTCTCTCTGTAAGTTCAAGACCAGCCTGGTCTACACAGTGTTATGATAAAGTTAGAGGGCAACCTTGTCGGATTCCATGGCAGGCGAGCGTAACCAAGGCAGGGAACAAACATGCCAGGCAGATGGTGTGTGAGAAGTTTTATTAGAAAGAGAAGGGATGGGGGAAGGAAAGAGAAAAGATGTAAAGAGACACAGAGACAGAGACAGAGAGAGGACAGAGGAGAAGAGGGAAACAGGAAAAGTTCTGTCTGCCCCAGGGGAACAGTGAAAAGAGCGGGAGAGAGGAAAAGAGGAGCAGAACAGAGAGCGTAAGTGGGCGGGGTCTGTCTTTTAAAGGGTCCTTTGCACCTGGGCTGATGAGGGTACTGCCTGAGTGCATTCTGCCAGGTATCAGGGGCACGCCAGCATAATGCCTGAATCCTTATATAGAATAGTTCCAGGGCTACAAAGAGGAAACCTGTCTACAAAACAAACAAAGCTTCCCAATAACACCCCTCACAGAAATAAGCAACCCTAAAGTTCATATGAAAACACAAAGACCTCGAATAACCACAGCAATCCTAAGAAGAAAGAGCAGTGCTTGGGCAATGCTTGGGGGTCTAAAATATCTGACCTCAAATAATACCAGAGCCGCAGTAACAAAACAGCACGTGCTGGCACAAAGCAGACACACAGACCAGTGCAACAAAACAGAGAACCCAGAGCTGAAAAGACAGCCCAGTGGCTAAGAGCACTCACTGGCTGCTCTTCTACAGGACCTGGGTTCAAATCTCAGCACCCACATGGTGGCTCACAACTGTCTGTAACTCCAGTCAAGGGGATTCAATGCCTTCTCCAGGCCTCTGTTGGCACAGGCATGCAGGTGGTAACACAGACACACACGGAGGCAAAACCTTACACACATAAAATAGTAAGTTTTATTAGAAGAGAGAGAACCGGAAACAAACCCACACAGCTATAGTCCCCTAAGCTTGGCAAGGGTTAGAGGGCAGCCTTTTCTGCAAAGTGTCCTTGGAAGACTGGCGCATAGCATGCAACTAGAGCCCTGCTCTCACCCTGCTCAAAACAAATCAATTCAAACTGGATCAAAGACCTGAATGTGCAACCTGAAATGAAAAAATAGAGAATGTTCTGCTAGATAGAGTTGCCAAAAAATCCTTCAGTGGCTCAAGAAATCATATGGAGAAGACTGATGAGACAGGGACCAAAGAGTCTGCTCAGAGGCTGAGTGCACCTGTTGCTCTGGGAGAGGTCCTGCGTTCAATTCTGAGCACCCACATGGTGGCTCACAACTGTCCATAACTCCACTTCCAGTGGATCTGATACTCCTTTCTGAACTCCACAGGCCCCAGGAACACACCTGTGGTTCACATACATACATGCATTAAAGCACTCACACACATAAAGCAAAATAAATAAGGCTAAAAGAGAGAAAAAAAAAAAGTCAGGCACCTTTCGTCCCAGCCCTCTGGAAGCAGAGACAGACAGGTCTCTGAGAATTTGAGTCTAGCCTGGTTTACACAGAGAATTCCAAACCAGCTAGGGCTACATAGTGAACTCCGTCTCAAGGGGAAAAAAAAAAATGTTAAAGAATTGACTAATGGGACTGCATGAAATTAAAAAGCTTTTTCACGGCAAAGGAAACCAGCAGGATGAACAGACAGCCTGCATAATGGAAGAAAATCTTTGCCAAGTAAACATCTGGTGGGGAATTAAATATCTTGAATCTATAGAGAACTCAAGCCAGACTTAGTGGCTCACACCTGTAATCTTAGGACTGAGGGAGATGAGACAAGTTAGCCAAGGGTTTGAGACCAGCCTGGGCTATGAGCCTGCAGTACATACAGTGTGAAACGCTGTCTCAGAGAGATAGAAAACAGACTTGCAGGTGATTCCAGCACTTGGGAGGCGGAGGCAGAAAGAGCAGGATCACAAGGTCAGACTTGTTTATGTAATAAGTTCAAAACCAGCCTGGGACACGCAAAAACTAATCCCAAAAAAAGGAAAAGCATGGGAAGACACCCGTCGTGGCTTGAAGAAAAAATGGCCCGATAGGTTCATATGCTTGAACACCGGTTGCAGGTTGGTGAAACTATTTGGGAAGGATGTGGAGATGTGGCCTTATAGACAGAGGTGTCACCTGGGGATGGCATTGAGGTTTCAAAAGAGTCGTCAGGGCATTCCCAGCGTGCTCTCTGCTTCATGTCTGTGCAGCAAGACATGAACTCTCAGTGGCTACCCTGCCATGTCTGCTGCCGATTCGCGCTACCTCTTGCCATCACGGAACTGTAAGCCCAATTAAACATCTGCTCTCATAAGGTGCCCTGGTGGTGGTGTTTTATCACAGCCATGGAAAAGTAACTGAGACAGTATCCCCATATGTTCACAAACACACACACACTCAAACATTTTAAGCTACAAAAACAAATCATGACAAAACAAAACTAAGTACACTATCTATTTATAGTAATTCTCCATATTTAAATAAGCCTTGGTACTTTTTCTAGCAAAATTTTAATTTCTTATGTACCTAATACTATTAATGTGTAACAATAAACACTTGGGGAAAATTGCAAATATTAGCTGGATATGGTAACACAGACCTATATTTGGAGCATTTGGGAGGCTGAGACAAGAGGGGTCATGGGTATACATGAAGTTGGTACTCAAAAACAATAATCACACTGCCCAGCTGTTTTAAAGAGAGAAAAAGTATCCTTCATTGACACACCACAATGAAATATAAATTTTCTAAAGTCTGTACCCACAAAGAAACTATAATAAGTAATAACAAAAAATACTACCACCCTGATGGTTGGCTAAAGCCAATTTTCAAAAATTTTTATTTCAATATGTTAGTTACTTAATAAAAGTATACATGATATAATCTAAAGAAGTATGACATGGGACTGGGATGTGTCTCAGAGGTAGAGAATTCTCTAGCATGCAGGAGGACTTGAGTTCACTCCCTAACACACACACACACACACACACACCATACTAGTACATGTAAATTATCTCTCCATGTGTACACACAGAGAAGAAAGAGAGGAAACAAGTACTACCCCAAACCCACTCCTATTTAAACTGCAAGACAAATGAAAAGACACAGACAGGGAGTTCCTCAAGATGACTCTGGGGGATAAGGGAGCTTTGCCGCCAAGCCTGATGATCCAAAGAACTACAAGGAGGTGCAAGCACGAAGCTGACTCTTGCAAAGGTATCCTCCACTTAGGCACACACAGACACACAATACATATAGTAAATTATTTTTTTTTAAAAAGAGAAGGGCTAGAGAGTTGGCTCTGAAGTCAGGAACATTGGCTGCTCTTCCAGAGGACCTGGGTTTAAGTCCCAGCACCCACCTGGCAGCTCATAACCATCTGTAATTCCAGTTCCAGAAGATCCTACACCCTCTTATGCCTCTGAAGGTACCAGGCATGCATGTGGTGCACAGATATATACATACAGGTAAACACCCAAACATACAAAATAAAAGTTAAATTAAAAAAAAATAAAAGCTTTGTATTAACAGAGAGCATCTTCCTTACACCATGAAAAGCATAAAACATTTTTTTTTAATCCAAAAGGAAGCCATTTCACTTACTAGCATGCTTATCTGCAAGCATTATAAGCGTGTTGGAGATATCACGTCGTCTATAGAAGCATACGACTTTTGCTTCCACGTTGCCACTTGCAGTCTAAGAAATAAGAAAAATAAAAGTCACATGGGGCCTGAAGTCTCTATGATAAAATGTGCTGACAACCCCAGGTCTTGGAACTAACTCAGAAGGATTGCACAAATTTAGCGGCCAGTCTGGTCTACTGTAGAGTTCCACATCAGCCAGGGCTAGGTAGCAAGACACTTTCTCAAAAAGCAAACAACATCGAAACCTGGAGAGAAGGAAAGGGAGAAAGACCTCCCCCAATTTTGTGTGTTTGTGAGTGATGAGACAGGGTTTCATGTAACCCAGGCTGGCCTTGAACTCACGATCCTCTTGCCTCCGTCTTCCTTGGGCATTCACAACCATACCAGCCAGATTCATCCAGTTTTAAAAGCCACAAATAATCTGTTTGCAGCACTGAATGTAGTCATCTTGAAAAGGCATGGCTGTGTAAGGCTCAAACCCATCCCCAGATGGCCCCAGTTCTACGATGACTCTCTGCAGGGGGCAGTAGACAGCACGCAGGATAGAACTGGAAAAACATCTTCCACACAGCCAATAGTCTCCTTTTTTTCTTCACATATGAAAATACCCAAAACTAAGTTTCCAACAGGAGGCTCTTCTGATTAGAGTCTAGAATACAATCAGCATTCAATTCTGTTGTAATTTACTGCAGCTGAGGCCCAGGCTCCTAGTCTAATATCTATAAATTCTATGGGCTTTCAAGCAGGTCGATCATTCACTGGCAAGCTCTTCATAAAAACACACAGATTACAATAAAATGTTACTGTAATGTCCAATTCCTGACGTGCGTAGCACACGCTTTCAGAATGTGTCTGGGCTTAAAGATATATTCAAATATAAAGAACATATACCATACTAAATTTGTCAGTTTTACCAAGTTCAGCAGCAATATTTTAGTGAGAAATGATACTGCGGAGATATTGCCCCTTCAAAATGAAATCATATTAAATTCCTATCCAAATGCCAATATATTTCGTAATGTTGTGATCAAATTCATCCTCCAGAAGCAATGATCCAGCAATCTGCTAAATGAACAGGCCGATATTTCTATGTAAATAAAATCTAGGGTTTCACTCTAAGCGTTTTTTCAATTCTGTCTTATTAGTGAGCTCTCCCAACAGCAATGCTCTGCAAAAATGACTAAGTTCCCTATTAAACCTGCTTGAGGGATAAAGATGTAGTTCAGAATATTTCTTTTCCTTTTTTTTTTTTTTTTTTTTTTTAATTGCTTTTGGAGACAGGATTTCTCTGTGTAACTCCTGGCTGTCCTGGAATTCACTCTGTAGACCAGGCTGGACTCCCACTCAGAGATCACCTGCCTCTGGCTCCCAAGGGCTGCGATTAAAAGGCCAACATCCCTCTCCCCCTTAAAGCCAAGATCTCTCTACGTAACACACTCTGTCTTAGAACTGACAATCTTCCTGCCTCGGCCTACCTAGTGCTGGAATTAATAGGTGTACAGCATCATACTTGGAAGTAAAAACAGCTGGATGAGGCTGGCTGTGGTCACAAACACCTTTAATCCCAGCACTCAGGAGGCAGAGGCAGGAGAATCTGAGTTTAAGCTCAGTCTGGCCTACATAGTGAGTTCTGGGGCAGCCAGGGAGGAGGACTACACACTGAAACCCTTTCTCAAAAAAAAAAAAAAAAAAGGAACTCTTTGGGTCTGGAGATGGCTCAGAGGTTAAACACACTGACTGCTCTTCCAGAGGACCAAGCTCAATACCCAGCACCCACATGGCAGCTCACAACTGTCTGTAACTCCAGGTCCAGGGGACCTGACACCCTCACACATAAAAAACATCAATGCACATAAACTAAAAATAGATAAATTATAAACAATAATAATGTCCTCAGAATTAAGGGATGTGGCTCAGTGCAGGGTACATTCTTAGGATGTTCACAGCCTGGGGTTCAATCCTCAGTAACAAAAATCTTCTAGGCCACACACACTCTTGACTATTGGATCACTCACATAGTGCAGTATTGTTCTTTCCTTACGGACTACAGTGGCATTGCCCTTCCCCCAGGACTATAGTACAGCATGGTTCTTCCCTTCCACAACACACACACACACACACTCGAACCATTTCTCTGAAGCCCTGCTATTCTAAATAATGGTCCATTGAGCGACAGCTAGCCTGCAACAGATTCTGGTGTGTAAAGAAATGAATACAGGGATCGGGAGTAGGGGGAATGTATCACAGATATTAAGAGCTAACACTGAGCTTGATAGGCCACCACAGAACATCAAGAATTGAAGACAAGCCTGGGCTTTGTCCTTTTTTTTTTTTTTTGAGACTTTGTCTCAAAGCAAAACCAAACAAAAACAACAACAGAAAAAAAAAAAAAACAAGGATTATAAACACAGCTCAATGATATAGTACTGGCCCAGCATATTCCAAGCCCTGGGTTCAGTTCCCAATACTTCAAATGGAGAGTTGGGGAAATCAGTGGGAAAGTTTCCTAATTTCCATGCCTATTGCCAAACTGCAGAAGCAATCCTGAAATCGCTTTAGGGGATCTTTGGAAATTATTTGCAAGAACTTGTATATGCATGTGGGGTAACTCAGATATCGCCCAATGCTATAAGCTCTGGCACTCAACAGGCAAAAGAAGGACTGTCCAGGTTTGATCCAGCTCTGCCTACATTAGAAGTTCCAGACCAACAGATCTACACTGTGAGAATCGGTCTCAAAAAACAATACAGCTCAGCTGTAGCGCAATTGTCTAGTATGTGCAGGGGCCTGGGTTCCGTGTTTGGGAGTAGTGTGGCAGTGGCTAGGGAAAGCTACTGGCATAGCCCAACGTCGCAGCAAGTGAGTTGTGTTGGAGCCCATCTGTGAGTTCAGCATTTAGGAGACAGAAGCAGGAGATCAGGAGTTCAAGGCCCACCTCCGTCTTATAGTGTGTTCAGGGCCAGCCAAAGCTATGTGTGACCCTGCTTGAAAAATAGAAACTTTGAGATCAGCATGAACCACCAAGAAAGTTCAAAACCAACTTGGGGAACATAGCAAGACTTGTCTGAATGCTTGGCGTGGTGACACACATTTTTAATACTAGTGCTTGAGGCAGGCAGATTTCTGTGCTTTTGGGGACTAGCCTGACACAGGAAGTTCCAGGCCAGCCAGGACTACAAAGACAATGTAAGGACCCAAGCATTATGCTGGCCTGCCCCTGTCACCTGGCAGAATGCACTCAGGCAGTACCCTGGTCAGCCCAGGGTTATGTGTTTGCATAGTCTGCAGGCAGATGCAAAGGACCCTTTAAAAGACAGACCCCACCCACTTATGCTCCCTTCCCCTCTCTCTCTTTTCCAGTTCTTTCTATTTCCTGCTGTTCCCCTGGGGCAGGCAGGACTTTTCTTTTTTCCCTCTCCTCTTCTGTCCTCTCTCTGTCTCTGTGTCTCTATCTCTTTATCTCTTTTCTCTTTCCTTCCCCCTCCCTTCCATTTCTAATAAAACTTCTCACTTAAGCTGTCTGCCTGTCGCCTGTCGTGCTTGTCCCTTGCCTGGGTCACCCTCGACTGCCATGGAATCTGCCAAGGTCCCCCACTTAAGTTCCCCCTCGATCTTTATCATAACAAAGAAACTAGGTCCCAAAAAAATAAAGTATGCAGTCTCAATGTTTGGTTTTACTGTGTGTGTGCACGAGAGAGAGAGAGAGAGAGAGAGAGAGAGAGAGAGAGAGAGAGTGTGTGTGTGTGTGTGTGTGTGTGTGTGTGTGTGTGTGTGTGTGTGTGTATACAGGTGAGGGTTGAACTTGGTGGCAAGCAATTTTACCCACTGAACCACATCACTGGCCTTCTCTTTCCTTTAAAAGAAGGTTTTCCTTCTGTCCTGCATTGGTAGGGACAGTCAGCCTTAGACACCAAAGCAAGTGCTGTACCACTGAGCCACACAGCCTTGAATTAAATAGTTGAAGGTGATAAATGACATGGAAAAAAGGCAAGCAGGAGGCATTTTGAGACAAGGTCTCCCGTGGTTTGGGCTGGCCTTGAGCTCTCCATTGGCTGATAAAGACTTCCCATCCCTCAGCCTCTGTCTCCTCAGTACTGGGACTACCAGTGTGTGCCACCACACCCAGCTTTTTCTAGGCTGGGTACTGAACCCAGGAGCTTTGTGTGTGCCTGAGCACTCTACCAACTGGGCTGTATTTGGTACTCTATACCCTGAAAAAGCAGAGGTGACATAAAACATGTACTTAAGAGATGGAGATATTTAGCCCCGAAGTCTCACAAATAAAAGTAAAACTACAGAAGTGCTAAATGTAAAATGTGATACACAGATAGCATTCTGTCATTAGTTGCCTCTTTTGAGTTAGGGGGCACTGGCAGAACCAAGGACCTTGCACAGTCTCCTTAAAATTCCAGAACTTTTAAGATTCAAAACTAAAACCCCTCAATAAACAGAGTTTGATATTGTTTACTTTGTGCCCTTTTGGCTGTATGTGGTCCCAGCCCTCAGGAGAGAGCACGAGGAGTTCACAGCCAGCCTGGACCTCAGGAAACCCCATCTCAAAACCAGAAACAAAAAGCCAAAACAGCAGAAATTTCTCTTTTTTGACTTTTCCCCTCCATACTCAGATGAAAAGACAACAACCTTTTGAAGGAGGCGTGTAAAGGAAAACACACACATACGTGTAAATTTACACATGCTACATTGTGTTTGTTTTCAATAACTGTTCCCTCCCTCATATCTGCCCTCCCTCCAACTAATGCATACCACAGTCTTTTGATTCAGTCAGTTACACATTTTAAGGATCTTGGGATAAAATGGTTGGCACATTGTTAAAGGCATTAACTAAACAATCGTTGAACTAACGAGTTTCTGAATTGTCTCATGTTTATGCTCACGCACAGCATCAGTATTCACCACGAACTTTGATTCAACTTGTGTTTCTTTCTTCCTTCCCCCTCCCCCACCCCGGGAGACAGGGTTTCTCTGTGTATGTATGGCTGTTCTAGAACTCACTCTATAGACCAGGTTGGCCTCACAGAGATCTGCCTGCTTCTGCCTCCCCCCACCAACACCTCACACCCACTTATTTCTTTACCATTGCGATTTAAAATTTTTCCCATTGTGTTTTAAAATTTGTTTTCCTTTCCCTTTTGTTTTTGAGACCCATCTGTCGCAGGCCTGGAACTCGACTAGTAGGTTCACCTGGTTGGCTTGTGAGCCTCGGGGCAAGGATTGTAAGCATGAGCCACTAAACCGGTTTTTCTTTCTATTTTTGAACATGGGTTCTGGGGTTTGAACTCAGGTCCTAATGATTGCAAGGCAAGGGCTTTGCCAACTGAACCATGTTCCCTGTCTTTCATTTGGTTTTTCCGAGACAGTCTCAGGAATAAAAACAAAAACCCAGGCCAGACTTCAACTAGATATGATATTCCTGTGTCAGTCTCCCAAGTACTAGGATCACACTGACTCATTTTACAGGGCCTCACTCTGTAGCCCAAGCTACCCATGAGCTCCTATGTGCCTGCCTATAGGCATAAACCACCATGCCTAGTTTAGAAGGATTCGTCCTCCTAAAGCTAGGGGAGGCAAATATTAATTCACTAACAATTACAAAACAGCAGCACTTGGGAAGCTGAGGCAGGAGAACTATGATTCTGAAGTCAGTGAAAGCCTGTCTCAAGCAAACAAGCAAAATACATACTACAGATCTAAATATGTAAAGAAACAGAGTTCTGCAATGGACCTTATCTTCAACACTCAAAACAATTTGAAGAGATCTGCAATCTTTCACTCAATAACATTGGACCAAAATCTTTATAATAAGTAAACACTCAAAAGCCTGCAGAACTCTGTAATCTGTGAAAGTTTGACTTTCACAGTCTGGAACTGAATGACTGGAGAGGCGGCACATGCCTTTACCCCCAGTGCTCAGGAGGCAGGGGCGGGCTGATCTCTGTGAGTTCAAGGCCTGCTTGGTCTATAAAGTGGGTTCTAGGACAGCCAGAAGGCCTAGTCTCAGGGGTGAAAAGATGAATTCTTAGTCTGAAACTGAAAGTAAAAGTCACCCCTTCAGTGGGCCCTTTAGCCATAACCATTCATGAGAAGCACCTTGACGCCACACTCACCTTGTTGAGTTCTTCTATTCTTCTGATTAGGTATGGGTTGCTGGAGGAATTCTCAAAGTAAACATAATCTGCAATCAAAAGGTTAAAGATCTCTTCAACAAACAGTTCACATTAATCACCCCCCCAACCCCACCCCTTGACAGGGTCACACTGCATAGCCCTGGAAGTCTTAGAACTTCCATATTAACCAGACTGGCCTCAGGCTCACAGGGCCCTGCTTGCCTCTGCCTCAGATTAAAGTGCTGGGATTAAAAGTGTGCAACAGTTAATTGGGCTACAACTTTCTACACTGGGCAATCCACTTTAGTAAATAGGTAATCCACTCGTCTGTAATATACAAACGCAATTAGCTGTACCATGTCTGCTACTTTCTTAGAATTCCCACTTCTAAGCAGCCCAGACTGATTTACAACCCAATATCCCCCTGCCTCATACTCCCAAGTGTTGGGACTGGTAGCACACATCACACCCTGCTTAAGTTTCTCTTACTTTTGCTTTTAGAAATAGCTTTCCATTAGTCCAAGGTGGCAAGAACTGGCTATGTAGCTGAGACTGGCCCTCAGTGCCTGAGCCTCCTGCCTGCACCTCTTACAAACTGAATTTACTGGCATGTGCCACAATGCCCAGCCTTAAAGTAATTCTTTAATAATAAAAGAAGCCTGACTTGGTGTAATGGGGGTGGGGGGGGCAGGATTCAAAGCAGGGGCCAGTCTGAGCTGCATAGCAAGACTCTGCCTCAAAAAAAAAAAAAAAAAAAAAAAAAAAGTGGGACTGGAGAGATGGCTCAGCAGGTAAGAGCACCGACTGCTCTTCCAGAGGACCAGGGTTCATTTCACAGCACCCACATAACAGCTCACAACTGTCTGTAGCTCCAGCCCCAGGGGAACCTGACATCCATGGAAACAAACAGCAATGCATATAAAATAAGAATAAATAAATTAAAAAAAAAAGCATAAGTCTTAAGTCTCAGCACTTGGGAGGCAAAGGCAAAGAGATCTCTGTGAGGCCAGCCTGGTCTACAGAGTGAGTTCCAGGACAGCTGGGGCTATGTAAACACCCTGTCTCAAACAAAACAGAACAAAAGCCACCACAACAGTGATAGCCAGACATCTCCATTACTACAGCATCCTCCCTGGGCAGCATCCACATCCTTCCCCTCCAATCCAATCAGCCTTTGAGAATGTTTCCTTCATACAACTGTTGACCTTAGACAAGTTTCAGAGCAAAGAGAAGGGCTTACCAGCCCAGCCCAACTTCATTTCAAGCATCAACTTAAAATAAAAGTCCAGCGGGCAGAGCGAGTATGGGAATGCTTGGTAACAAAGTTTTCCATACTCTACCTGGGAAGGTGAGGAATAGAGCAGGGCTACTTGCTGAGAGGCAGAGCAGTCTAGGGAAGGTGTTGGGATCGCCCCTCCCCTTTTATCATATTTGATCCAACTCCATTTAGGCCCTTTCTTACAAAGAAATCATGGCAAGTTTTCAACTAAACCTACAGGATTTTTTCCAAGCGTGGATTTTCCTCCACAGAGTGGCTGGAAACTTCCCACTGTGTGTTTACCTGAGACGCTAACCTAGACTGCACAGTCACTGTCTACCTTTGCAGGCTCTCTCCGAGCTCTCTGCTGCTAAGTGGCCTCATTTAAGCCAGGCCATTCCCCACCACCATCCATCAGGAGCCTGGCTAATGAGCAGAGAAGGAAGAACAAGCCTCACTCACAAACACGCCACTTATCTGAATTATTATTTTACCAGGAAGGAGGGAGGGAGGGCGTCATGAGCAGGGAAAGTTTGTTTGACCTTATTTCTCTCTTCTGCAGAAGGGCTGGGGAGACAGACAGCAGAGACAACGTCTAGGCTGAGCTCAGCTCCCCACCTGGGGCTGCGGTTCCCTGGGCCCCCCACACCCAACCCCACTCTTGGAGTTGGGGGTGGGGTGGGGGAGCTAAACGCGAAACCGTAGGGATGGGGGGGGGGTGAAGCGGCAGCGAAGGTGCAGAGCCCCGGCTTTGCTAACAGGCCTGTCCAGCTGTGCCCCTATCTGGGCCACCATCGCCCCCCAGCCCCACACTAACGCAGAAGCAGGGGCGGGGAGGGAGGGGCAGGTTGTCCCCAGCGCCCCCCACACCCCCGGTGCCCAAAAGCCACGCGAAGGAGGAAGCCACTCGGCTAGGGGGCTCGCAGGGGCCCGGTCCCCTCGGGGCGTTCGCAAACCGGGGGTGGAGGGGTGTCCGATGCGTGTGCCCACGAGAGGCCTGGCCCCCCGGACGCCGGGCGGGAGCGGTGGGGGAGGGGAGTGGGGGTGGGGAGCCCCCTGCGTCCCGCTCGCCCGCCCGCGGCGCCCTGGGCCCCGGGCTTCCCGGGCGGTGAGCGTGCGTGCGCCGCCCGGACCCCCGCTCCCGCCGCCCGCGCCCCGACGGGCCGGGAAGGGCGAGCCTTCCTACCTCCGACCCGGTACATGTTGGCCGCCATGTCCGCCCGCCCGCCCGCGGAGCCCGATGCGAGCCCCGCCCGCCGCCGCCGCCGCCGCCTCGACCGCCGCCGCCTTGCCACGGGGGAGGGGGAGGGATGGGGAGGGCCGGGGAGGGGAGGGGACACCGAGGGAGGGGGCTGTGCCCGCCCCCAGCGCCGGCCGAGCGACGCCGAGCCGGCCCGGGAGGCCGGAGCGCGGCGGGGGACGGGGCGACGGGCTGCGGGGACCGAGGACCCCGGGGCCACCCCTGCTAGCTAGTGTCCCCGTGGCACACCAGGGCCAGGGGCTGGTGGGAGAGCATGGGTGGGGACACAGGCGCAGCCACTCCGAGCGTCTCCCCTGCCCTGGTCACCTGTCCGCCTTGGGACAGGTTCTGCCTTCCTGCTTCTGTCCCCGGGGACACCCTCTCCATGAATGACCTCAAGCACATGAGCGCCCTTCTGGGTACAACTCTCCTGTCCGATCAATGCAGGCGACAGATGTTTGCATCCCTCCCTCGTGGTGACAGGGTGTTTGGTGGCTTTAGAGACTGCAGGCCCCGGGGCCCGAGAAGACTGCGCTTGCAGCTTGTCCAGTCTGAGACCCAGCCACCAAAAGAGCTAAAAGAAGCTGGCTGCCTACCCCAACCACATGGGCAGGTCTAGCAAGGCTGTGCCAAAACAGAGCTGACGAAACCCCAGAACCGAGTCTCCCACATCCTCAGGCCTGGCCTCTAAACAGGCTCTGTATAAGTAAGGCACGTGGTTTAACCTTTGGCACAGGAAGGCTTCCTCTGCCTGAGAGGGGAACAGGGTTTCCACAATTTGCCATTGCTGGGACCAAAAGGAGGAGGTCCTGTCAAACGGTAGGGTGTAGCTTGTTGGCTACCTGCTTTTATGTCAAAAAGTCAGCTCCTCTCCTTTTATTTTTTTATTTTTTATTTTTTTTCAGTATTTGGGATTGAAGCTGGAGCTTTGTGCATCCTACTTACTGAACTCTAGTTCCAGCTCTTTCGAGAGTGTCTTGGTTTGTTTGTAGATTTTTAGTACATTTATTTATTTATTATATACATGAGGGCATGAATGGTATGACACATAGATGTAGGTCTATCATATGGGACCGGGTCATATTGCACTCAGGTAGTCATTGCAATGGCTGTAAGCACCTGTACACACTGAACTATCCCACCAGCCTTATTTATTTTCAGCAGTGTCTCAGCTCAGGCTGGCTCCTGTCGACACTTGCCTCTGCCTCTCAGGTGCTAGAATTGTATGACAGGCGTGGGATAACACCCCCCCACACTGGAAAGCCTAAATTTAAATGGTTAATTTTGCCATGCTGACTATCTATACATCCCCTTTCACTCTGCTTTTTGGCCACTGTGGGATACAAGCAAGACCTTCTTGACTGCCTCATCCCAAACGAACACAGGAAAGCCAAGCCATCCCAAACTACACCCGGACATCGTTGCAAAATAAACATTCCACTGATTGTCCACTAGTTCCTGGTGGCACTGAGTGAGGTCTGTGCCCGGGGAAGGAGGTGTCCCCAGAAGAGAAGACTGCATTTTGGTTGATGTTCCATTATCACAAAATACTGAGGAAAAATAATCTTACTAATAGCTCAGGCAAATAAATGAATGTGCTGTTGCCATTATCACACCGATTAATCCATGGCCTGTATTTGCATGTATAAAGTGAAGAGGTTGCTTCCACTGCACAGGTGTGTGCTAAAGGGTTGGCTGTGATGACATCTGAAGGTGCTTTGTAAATCAGACAAACAGAAAGCCTCAGATTCCAGAGGACTTCGTAGAATGCTCCAAACTGTGAGCCCATGGCTCTTCTGGCCCAGAGAAGAAAACAAAATTGCTCTTGTATGACAGCGTAGCTGTTATTTATCCCAACCCCTTTCACTGGAGAGCCCACCAAAAACATATGATGACTTATCTCCACCACTCTCTGTTTCTGAACTGACACACAAATAGGGTAAATAATTCACCTGGAACAGTCACCTGGCATCAGTACTAAATGTAATTCAGTATTTCCCTCTGGCCCATAACAGTGTGAGCTACAAAGTCTGGCTTTTAGTAAGAATACAGCCTGAAAACTTCAAGGAAATGGATCATGAGTTTTAGAAGGTTTGCTCATAATTTTTAAGTAATAAATGAACAAGAGGGGGCCAGAAGGGGTTACAGGAGGAGGGGCTCAGCAGGTAAAGATGTTTGCAGGCAAGCAAGCTTGGTGACCTGAGTTTGATACATAGAACCCACATGGTAGAAAGAGAAAACCAATTTTGTTGTTGTTGTTGTGATTTATGACAGGGTTTGTCTGTAGCTGTGGAGCCCGTCCTAGAACTTGGTCTATAGATCAGGCTGGCCTTGAGCTCACAGAGATCCACCTGCCTCTGCCACGAGTTCTGCCACCACCACCCAGCTCTGCAGACAACTTTTAAGAATTGTTTTTCTTGGGTGAAGTGGAGATGGGAGGACAGAGAGCTCCAGGTTTTCCTCAGCTACGCAATTGGAAGTCATCCTGGACTACACGAGACCCCTGTCTCAAAAACAATAGGCACAAACACTTTCTTCCTCAAAATATTTCTGTATTCTTGTTACTTCCTTGTCTGCTTGTCTCATTTCCTCGTGTTTTTGAGGTCCCTAGTCTTACCACAGTAAGTGTGTGAAAGGTGCTAAGAACATTTCTCACGCCTGTCCACACTCAGCTTTTCTCCTTAGGACCAATCAGCTTTAGTCTAGAGACCCCATAAAGAAGTAGAGACCTGGGCCAGAGCAGGAAGTGATGGCGACCAGACCAGACTCTCTGGACTCCCCTACATTCTGTGTTAAGCCCCTTCAACCTCCATCTCCAAGACAGTATCCTCTACATAGAAAAATGCTCAGCATCTTAAAGAATGGGGGAGGAGGGTGGTTCGACTGTTAGGGCATACACAGCTCTTCCAGATGTCCTAAGTTAAGATCCCAGGACCCATATCAGATAGCTTGCAATCGTCTGTAACTCCATTTCCAAAGGATTCAACATCTTGTGGCCTCAGCACGTGCCTACACTGACTCGCATATGGCTGCACACAAACATACATACATACATACATACATACATACATACATACATACATACAAATAAAAATAAATCCCTGAGGCAGGGTTTCTCTGTGCAGCCCTGGCTGTCCTGGAACTCACTCTGTAGACCAGGCTAGCTTGAACTCACAGAGATTGCCTGCCTCTGCCTCCCAAGTGCTGGGACTAAAGGCCTGTGTCGCCCTGCCAGGCTGAAAATAAATCTTAAGGTAAAAAAGAGTAAATGGAGGCTGAGGTTGTAGCTCAGCTAGTAGAATATATTCATGACATTCGTGAGGTCCTGGGTTCAAGCCTTAGCCAGCATTGAACAGACCAGATGTGATGCTGCATGTGAAACACTTCATGTTTCTTAGGTCCCATTTCTCTCCAACCATTCTCAAGTGGCCCTAAAGAAGGATGTTTTGGGCTGGAGAGATGGCTCAGTGGTTAAGAGCACTGGATGCTCTTCCAGAGGACCTGAGTTCAATTCCCAGAACCCACGTGACAGCTCACAGATATCCGTAACTCCAGTTCCAGGGGACCTGACACATATGGGAAAACATCAATGCTTATAAAAGTAAATAAATTAGGGGCTGGAGAGATGGCTCAGTGGTTGAGAGCACTGACTGCTCTTCCAGAGGACCCAGGTTCAATTCTCAGCTCCCATATGGCAGCTCCAACTGTCTTATAATTCCAGTTCCAGGGGACCTGACACCTATGTCAAATGCAATGAACATAAAATAAAATATTTAAAAATGAATTAATTAAAATATTTTTAAAATTAATTAATTAAAAGTGAGAGAAAGGGAGAGAGAGATGTCTTCAAAAACATGTCAGACGCTTCAAAGCAAATCAGGTCTTCGCATGGGTGAAGCTTCCTAACATGGCAGTTACGGTTAAAGAAGCACATGGAAAGGATTGCCTGAGGCGCAGTGTCCCCTGTTGGTATCCAGGATCCCATCCTTTTAGCTTCAAATGAGCCAGGTGTGGCGACATATCCCTATGATCCTAGCTCCCTGGAGGTAGAGGTAGGAGGAGCGGAGTTTAAGCCCAGCCTGGGCTACTTGAGACCCTATCTGAAAGAAAGACAAAGAAGAAAGAGCCACAGTCACTGCCAAGAAGGCTCAGTGGGTAAGGGCACTTGCCACCAAGCCTGAAGACCTGAGTCCAGTCCCTATGGAATTACATGGTGTAAGGAGAAAACCTACTTCTGTAAAATTGTTCTCTGTCCTTACACACACATTCACACACACACACACACACACACACACACACACACACACTTAAATAAACATAAGAATAAAAAAGGGTTGGGTATGGTGGCACACGCCTTTGGCCCCAGCTCTTGGAAAGCAGAGGCAAGTGGATCTCTGTGACTTCAAGGCCAGCCTGGTCTACAGAATGAGTTCCAAGACAGCCAGGGCTGTTACATAGAGAAACCCTGTCTCAATAAATAAATAAGTAAAACTTTTTTTTCAAAAAGGGAAAAAGAAAAAAGATTGCTTTAGTTTTTTTGTTTTGTTTTTTCCTCCTCTTCAGGCACAGAATTTTCGTGAAAGGAAAAAAAAAAAGTGTTCTGGCTGCAGTCTGGGAGCCTTGTGATATTGAACCTAGGAAAGGAGCCTGGGGGCCTAGGGTGTAATTAATCTGAAGCTAGAGCCTAGCTTTGGAAAGAAACTGTGTCTTGTTTGTCTTTCCTATGATTTATCACCTCCTCCCTTTCATTAACTCATTTTGTTTCTTAGCAGATTCCTTTGGAAAAGTCCAGTCTGTTTCAGATATTTTAAAGAGGTCCTGGGCTGTAAAAATGAACAAATGAGTCCTAGAAGAAAGGCATGTGACATCAACAAGCAAAACAAGAATGTCCCTCAGGGAAAGGGAGCCAGCACACAGAGTTTTACAGCTTCTCCAGTCACAGCTTCCCTCCCATACACTCCCTGCCTAAAAACATGCAAGTCCAGATGAGCTTCAGGGGGCTTCTTTTTCCTTTGCGGTTCTCCTGTGAGATGCAGTCATACTGTGTAGTCTCGCTGGCCAGGAACTGGCAATGTAGACCAGCAAGGCCCCTGCCTCCCGAG